CACTGGGATTAAACATGACAATAGGTCTGCTCTGATTTCATCATCATTTAAAAAAATCATCTATTATTTTTCACTTTATGTTTCTGTGTGGGAGCAAACTGTTGAAATCCTTACTTAATGTATACTAAGCTGATCTTCTGTATATTAAGATAATCGAAAATGAATCTTGATGTGAATGGAAGGGGAGAGGGAGTGGGAAAGGGGAGGGTTGTGGGTGGGAGGGACGGTATGGGGGGGAAGCCACTGTAATCCATAAGTCGTACTTTGGAAATTTATATGCATTAAATAAAAGTTTAAAAAAAAAAAGAAAAATAAATAAATAAATAAATAAATAAAAAGTAAATTTATTTCGGTGCAAAACATTTTTGAAATCCATCCACAGTTATTTCATTACATGAATTTTCATGAACTTTTTGAAGAACGCTCGTATATTGACAACTCACACATGCACACACACACACACACACATATATATGAAGAATATGAAGGAAATACACAAAAAATGTTTCACTTGTAGCTATCTGTGTGTATTTGAATGATGGGAAATTTTTTTTTTTTTGGACAGGCAGAGTGGATAGTGAGAGAGAGAGACAGAGAGAAAGGTCTTCCTTTTGCCGTTGGTTCACCCTCCAATGGCCGCCACGGCTGGCGCGCTGCGGCCGGCACAACACGCTGATCCGAAGCCAGGAGCCAGGTGCTTCCTCCTGGTCTCCCATGGGGTGCAGGGCCCAAGCACTTGGGCCATCCTCCACTGCACTCCCGGGCCACAGCAGAGAGCTGGCCTGGAAGAGGGGCAACCGGGACAGAATCCAGTGCCCCGACCGGGACTAGAACCCGGTGTGCTGGCGCCGCTAGGTGGAGGATTAGCCTATTGAGCCGCGGCGCCAGCCGGGAAATCTTTTTTTTAATGCCTCCATATGGCCAAAAATTTCTTTCATGGACATATGTCTTAGTCCATTTTGTACTGCTGTAATAGAATGCCTGAGGCTGAGTAACTTACAAAACAGAGGTTTGTTTGGCCCACAGTTCTAGTGGCTGGAGGGTTCAAACAGCTTGGGGCCAGCTTCCTGGCAAGGCCCCCACAGCTGCATCACAGCATGGAGGAGGGGCAGAAATAGAGCCCTCCACATGCAGGAAGCAGCCTGTGTACGAGCAAGGAAGCAAGGGCCCAGGGAGGCGCCAGGCTCACTCCTGTAACAACCCAGTCTTGCAGGAACCAATCTACTCCTAGTAGTGCTGACCCACACCTGCAAGACTGCATTAATTCCTTCATGAGAGTGCAGCATTAATTCCTTCCTGTAGGTCTCACCTCGTAAAGATTCTGCCCTCGCAACACGGCCACCCTATGGAGGAGCTGCCAGCATGTGCATCTTGGGAGATAAGCTGAAACTCCAGCCACACACATTGCCTATTGGCTGACACTGAGAAAATACATTTTGCACGTCATGAAATAATTTGATAGAAAGAAATAATAACGTTGGGTTCTAAGACTCTTCTTCCGTTGAAAACGTGCACCCAATCAGCCAATCAGGGAACTGCCTGCCAGCTGCTCAGAGGGTCACTGTGACAAAGTACCAAAGCACGGGGACTAAGGGCGGGCGTTTGCAACAGATGAGACACTCCTTGGGTCTCCCACACCTTCTATCAGAGCGTCTGGTTTCGTGTGCGTCCTGTAACAGAATGCCCAGGACTGAGTCCTGACTTCACTTCCTGGTCCAGCTGCCGGATGACTTAAGTGCCTGAATCCCCACCACCCACACGGGAGACCTGGACTGAGTTCCAGCCTCCCAGCTGCAGCCCAGTTCTGGCTGTTGTGGGCATGTGGAGTGAACCAGTCAGTGAAAGATATATCTCTCTCCATCTCTCTCTGTCTCTCTTTCTCTACTTTTCAAACAAACCTTTACTGCACCATAACAAATGCACACATACATTTATAAATAAAGCAATGAGGCAGGGACTAGACGTTGAGTGGCTCTGGGCTGGGCATGGCCCCATCTGGTGGGAAAGCCTCCATCCTCTGCCTGGTGTCACTCACACCCTCGCCCTCAGAGCCGCACTGAGACCCACAGAGACCTGGAAGGTAGGAATGTGTTCTCACCTGCAAAGAGTTGGTATATGGAAGCCAATGACTCTAGTCCTTTACCATCTTTAACTCACTTGATTCTCAAGAATTGAAACCACTACTAGGTCCATTTTACAGATGAGGAATTCAGGGCCGTTTGGCTAAGGTCATTTCCAAAAGTGATAGAACCCGATGGATGCCCACGCCGACTAGAAGATGCATCAGTTTCCTGTCCCTGAGATGCTTGGCTGCCTCACCCCGCAGGAAGGACGATTCTTTGACCCTAACATGTTCTCCATGCAGAACAGCAAAGAGCACTGGGAAGTAGAGAGTGAATTTCTGTAGCTCTCCCGTCTCAGGGGGCGCTGACTGACCAGGCTTTGGTGTCACCAGAAACGTGGCCTCAGCTTGTGCGCAGGCTCCAGCCGTGCCC